GGCAAGGACTCGGTGGACTATGGTTTCAAGATCTACAGCAGATAGGTTGGTGGTCGAAAATGGAGCATCAATGGATGAAGAAGACTCAATGGCAGATGAATCAGAGGATGACACAACGGCTGCTTGAGAAGCAGGATGCTAAACCTGTAGAGCCTTTTTATGGGCCTGAAGCTTTCTGCACTCTTCAACTGAGTGGCCTTTCTTCTTACAATACTTGCATACAACATTCCGAGAAGAGGAAGACTACAGATATGTGGGTTGTGTAGTAGAGAAGTTACCTAGAGAGGGAGAAGATTTCCCTGGAGATGGAACAACCATGACCACGTCGGTAGACTGCATCTTCATAGTAGAGCGTCGATTCTCTTCAGATATCAGTTCAATAATGGCTGTGTCAAGAGATGGAAGAGGTTGACGATGCAAAAGACTGGCACGAACAAGTTCAAAATCTTGGTGAAGTGCCATCATGAAGTGCATAAATTTACGGCGATCAATATACTCAGTAAACAAGACTTGATCAGCAACACACTGGAATTGAGGATTTGCAGCACTCAATTGATCCCACAGACTAGTTACTTGAGAATGGAAATCAGAAATAGATTGATCTGGACCTTAGAAAGTAGAATACAGCTTAGTTTCAAGTTGAAATTGGAGAGATGCATCATGATTGCATTTGTAGTGCTTTGCCAAAAACACCCAAGCATCATGAGCACTTTCTAGACGGGGAAGTAGTGGTTGAATGACTGGTGTAGACGTATTAATGAACCATGACAATATTTTGCACTGTGTACTCTCCCAAGTGTCAAGTCGAGTATGAAAAGCAGATTCTTCCTCACCTTTATTTTGAACTGGCTTTTTGGATGGACTTACAACGGTACGCCATTGAGAGACTCCCTTCAGGTAGATAGTCATGTTTTGTGACCACTGGTTGTAATTGGTCCCATCAAGAGTAATATCAATGGGACGAATGAGATTGGTAGTGGTGGTGGCGTTAGACATTTTTTTTTACGTTTGTAATATTATATATATGTATATATATAATAACGTTTGGAAGAAAAACTGAACAGCAAACGGGTTATTTGAATTAACCAAGAAGATTGAAAGAAAACGTTGCAGACCAAAATAAGTGAACGAGGAAATAAGAGATGTAAAACCAGATTATAGACGAGAGAGTGTGAGGGTGAGCTTCTATTCCATCTGATTGAAGAGGACGTGGATGGCGAACAAGGCACAACGTCGGGCTTGCAGGCGAGCGTCGGTAGTGACGACGTGGTCAACATTGATTGGGTACGACGCAACGGCAATTGACTTCGGTTGGCGCTAGAGAATGAAGCGCAACGAAACGTCGGCTGGGTTCGAGATGGAAGAAAGGTGTGCAACAATAATGATGCTCGCTTAACTCGTTGTTGAGAGAAAGGAGACTGGTGTCGACATCTATTGAAGAGGAAGAAATAGTGGGTGGTGGTTATGGTATGTTTTCTTGGCCAAGGAACAACCTGGCTCTGAAACTATGTAGAAAATAAAGGAAGACAAGGAATATGTGAAATGTTTTCTGTATGTCAATTGAAAGAGAGAGTTCTCTTTTATAGTTACAAGGGGACACCTAAATTGGGTAACTAACTAATTACATGGAGAAGAATCCGGTAATTATAAAGAATCAAGAAAGTTGACAAAATTGAATACATAATATTATGACATAAACAGAATATATTCTATCACAAATACAATATATTCAACAAATACTATCTATTAGTATAACTATTACATTAAAAAGATTATAAATTAAGAGTAATGAGTAAAAATCTTGAGCGATACACTTTTAAGATGTATTTATCTCATTTTCCTTATTTTTCAAAGAGAAAATTGTTAACTTACTTCATGAGTTTAAAATTTTACCCATTCATTTTGATTAATACCCTTTTAAAATTGTCAACTTTTATTGTACGTGACTCTCTAACTCAGATTTGTTCCTCTTAAAACTTTGGAGACTGATCTGGTGACAAATTACAGAGTTTCTGCTTTGCAAGAATGCCAAATTCAACATTGGCCTTGGGGACCAAACCATGAGCTGTGCCACGGCCAACTGTGATTTACACACTGGGGTCTTCTTTTTTATTTATATTCTTTTAAAAAAAAAAAATACATATATGGAAGTCAAAGGAGCTTCATTATTGAAACAAGACAACGAGAACTACAAGAAAATGCAAGGCCACAAAACTCAACGGGCTAGCTAACCGTGTCAAGAATCAGAACAAGTCAGGTTTCACACGTTGTTTCAAGATTCACGGTTTATTTACCCACAAACTAACGATGAACAAGTACAAGAAACAATAAATAAGAAATTGGGTTAAAAAAAGGGATCTAATATCCTGTTCATTTCATTGATTCGAGTTTTGTTACAGTAAAAAATTTTCAAAAATAGTCACATTTAACATTTTTACTACAATAAAAAATTTTCACATAAAGTCACATCTTAACTCAAATTAAAAATTCAATCAACAAACTAAACGAGCCTTAAAATTATCTTTTTTTAGAGTTGGGAATAAGGACATAGGTGTTGTGTGGAGTTTTACGAGATTGATTATAAACGGCCATTCTAGCCCACACAAACACATGTATACCCGTGAACTTTCATTGTATAGAGTCTCGTAATAAATAACCCGTGACAATCTTTGCTGCCACAAGATCAACAAACAATTTGCAGAGAAAAACTTGTATATAATATTAAACCTTTTACACCAAGACAAATTTCGCCGTTCCTTTTGATATTGACACGTACCTTAACCGTACAAAAACGATTTTACTTTGATGTATATCTCAAAACTCGAAAATTTATTTCTAACTATACAGTAATTACGTGGAATTTTTATACCTAATTTGCAAAAAGATTACGTCGAATGACATGCCGTAGCTGCCACGTTACCTGTTATTATTACTAACAGTGAAGATTGTAATAATGAAGATGCATCTTTTTTTTTTTTTTTTTTTTGTGGGGGAGAAAAATGCATGACTTTCAAAATGCCAGATTTTGCTAATGAACTTTCAAAATGCCAGTTAAATAATGAAACAAGAAACAAATTTTGGAAAAGTACAACTCTCTGAAGTCTATTTCTTTAGTGGACCAGGAATGATTCATGCATCATCATGCATTATGTTATCCAAATGTGTAGTTGGTTCTATTAATAATATAGCTCGTGGAAAATCCACCAAAGACACTAGTCGTAAATATTTTTTTCGAATTCGTTTGATTGTTTTGGGTTTTCTTCTATCTTATTCTTTTTTTTTTTTGTACGTTTGCCTTTAATATCGTAAAATATATTCTGGAATTTCCGAGCTACGTTTTATAAACCTTAACAGACTAAAAAACTTGAAAGGGATAGTAATCGTCTTTTAGTTTCTCGTTTTTGTTATCTTTCTTAAGTGAAAGGAATTGGATTGGAAGTTCCGACACAAAAAACAATATTGGTGTGGGGTTTTGTAGCATAAAGTGTAGGCTTTCGGGATAGTATAAGTACTACTACTGGTTCCATGTGAACGAGAAGGCCACTCGTGGAAGAATTTTGGTGCCTTGCTTTTGTCTTTGCTATATCCAAATGCTTACGTTCAATTTACCACACACACTGCCAAATATGTCGATTGAAGAAACCGCGTTTGAAAGCTTAGCTTCTTATTTATTAGAAATTAAAGGCAAGTAACTCAAGTTATTAACCAAAGAAGTTGATAGAGAAAAAAAAAAAAAGTTCAAGAAACAGTTAAAAAAAATATATGTAGTTATTAGAAATCTAGAAGTAATAGTCCCCCCATGTAATTCTAATGAATTCAAGTGTGCCATTGCTGAAGCTTGCCGGCTTGGAAAATTGACTACTAATAAGAAACCTAATTCTTCCTTTTAACGTGGCTTTCCAACACAAAATAATAGGGCATAAATATTTTGACATAAGATTACAATGAGTAAGAGAGCATAAATATTTTGAAACGAGTTACAATGATCTTGGATATTTTTTTTTGGCAGGCCTTGAATTCAAGATAACTACGTACATGCAAAGTGACAAATAAATCTGCTTCAGCTTGGCTGGAGTTCGGTTGGGAAGGAATCGACATTAATCTTTCTTTTGACCATATTTTTTTGGCAGGCCTTGAATTCAAGATAACTACGTACATGCAAAGTGACAAATAAATCTGCTTCAGCTTGGCTGGAGTTCGGTTGGGAAGGAATCGACATTAATCTTTCTTTTGACCATATGCCAAGAAAAAGAGGCGGTAGAATTTACTCGGTACAATAGACCACTTTGGAAGTTTCCTTGGCCTTTTAATTCTAGTGGTTTCTTCTGCTGGGCGTCTAACTTAAGAAGTTAATTAATTGATCGAGTTGAGAAAAAATAAATTTATATAAAAAATATTATAATAAAAAATTAAATTTGAAACTTTATGAACGAAAACATCATAATTAAAAATTGAGTTATAATTTAAATTAACAAAACGAACGAGGCCTTATTCTTTAATGTTAGATATATTACTTTTTATATGGAATCATGTGCTTATACATAATTTTGAGGGCCTAAAAATTTTCAGTCGCTGGACTCTTTTTTTCTTGTAAACCTTTGATAGTTTTTTTACTTCTAATTAAAAACATAGCGTCACGCAAGGCATATAAGTGAGAGTCAAATATTAGGATTTGCACTAAAACAAATAATGCAACTTTTAAGCTTAGCATTATTTTCTTATTTTCTAAATATGGAAGATATCACACCGTTTTCTATGATTAATCAAGCCAATCCTTTCTCCATTTACTTGTGCCAAGAATCTCAAAATATCACATTCACACAGTCAAAATTACTATAATTTTCTATAAAAAAAATACTATAATTTTCTATTAATAGTACCAATTATTGTGTTGCAAACAATAGCGCCTAACATAATAATTTATACTCAACGTCTTACATCTAGGACTACAAATATTTAAAGTTCCATGAAAAGACAATATATAATTAAAGAATCCTCGTGGTTTTATTCGATTCCAAAAATTTCATATAATTAAAGAATCCTTTTGGAAACTTGTCGTTTTACACTCTAATTACATTGTATAATCCCATGAATTACGAAACTCCAACACTTTCTCTCCAATCTGTATATTTTTTTGCAGCCCTCTCCAATTGTATTATATTACGAGTATATATTATAAATATGTCCCCCCAATTTATTCTAAACCAATAAATAATAACCCCCCTAAAATAGTGATAATTTAAATAACTATAATCACTGGATCTGGACCCAAATGCCATCGCTTGGAATCTCCTGATGAACCACGAACCATAGATAATACCCGGACGGTGCAAGAATACCCGACCCGGGTGTTGTGACCCGAACTTCGTACGTGGATTTTCCTAAGCTTGTCATACTCTCCGCCGAGAGTACCAATAGCCTTTGGTTCATCGAGAACGAGTGCGTTGTAAACGATGGCGCCACCATTGTCACCGCCACCGAGCCCGGCAGCAACGTTGCCCCGCTCACCGTGAATCGAACTGCAAGCTTATTCAGGTACGACACCTTACTCTGCGAAGGGGGCGACACGATCTTGGGACGCAGATTCGAAAATTGAGCGTCTAAGTATTGAGGACTAAACGACTCTAAGCTTAAATCCGTCGGAAAAAGAACTCCGGTGAAGTTATAATAAATATGCGGATTACTACCACCAACAAGAACTCGACCATCTCTTAACAATATCGCCGTGGAATGGTACATCCTGGGGATACTGGACGGGTTTTGCACTTCAAACCGGGACCCGATTAATTTATCGGGTCGGTACAAAATGGGACTCAAAACCGGGTCACGCCCATATTCCCACCCGGCGGTTCCCGCCGCCCCTCCGTTGATGATTAAAACGTTGCCGTTTGGAAGCAACGTCATGTCTCCCATGACTCTAGCCAAAGGCATGTCCTCCATAACCCAAGTCGGGTTCGGGTCGGTTATTTTCATTCGGGCACAACTCTTTAGAGCTCCGACGAAATTCCCATTTACGGCCTGTACATAAGCCCCTTTCGGAGCTCCACCACAAACCAGAACTTCTGCTTCGATGAGCTGAGCTTGAAGGTTCTTCAACGGAAGCAAAACGGCCGAGCCAGTGCTCGGATATGACCTCGGATCTCCGCCGGGTATTTGCGGGTACGTCTTCAGAACTTGGTTTTTGGTGTAGTCCAATAATATAGCTCTGTTGTTTGCGAAGATGAAGAGATTCCCGTCGACATTGAGGAAAACAAATGGGTAAAGATTGTTCTCTATTTTGGCATCGTTCGTTTGTACTAAGAACGGTAAGCTGTAGGGATTCTTTGCCGACGACGTCGTTTTTGGATAAAACTCATAGTTGAATTGCCGTCTTCCTCCGATAACGATCACCTGCCCGTCGGGAAGAATGTGATCGGTGGCGTACCATCTTCTCGCCGCCAAACCGAACTCTATCTCCAGCCAATCGCAGCCGCCGGTGCTGCAGGGTTTGAAGATCCTGACCCTCCGTTCTCCATCGTTAAATCCGCCGGTCTGGACTAGGGTCCCGTCGGGAGTCAAAGCTCCGGAGGAGCACCAGACGTCGGTCTGGACCATCAGCGGCCGGAATGTGTTGGAAACGACGTCGTACTCCACTGAGTGCGCCGTGCAGTCGATCTTCAGCGCGGTGTCGTTCGGATCATTGCGGCATTTACCGTCCGGCAGCGACAAGTTCGACTTTCCGAAGTCGGTGCGGTCGAAGATGACGACGCGGTCGGTGTTCAGCAGCTGCATGTGCATGGCGGAGACGCCAATGCTCGTTTGCAGAGTCTGCCACCGACCGAAGGCGCCTTCTGTAATGTGGAAAGAGAAAGAGAAGAGAACAAATAGAAGAAGAACTAAAGTTGTTTCGTTCATTCTCATTGTTAGTTTAGCTGAGTTTGTGCTTCGGTTCAAGTCTGTCTCTATTTGAACTATTTTTTTTTTTTTTGCATATTCGTGTCTTTAGGGAAAGTCGACTTTTTAGCTATTTTTAGTAATATGTTGATTTTAACTATATTTATGTTTAATTTAGAAAATTTGATATGTTCGAGTAACTGACCGATTATCTTATAATTGTTATTTTTTTCTCTTTTTGTAGAGTCTATTAGTAGTACTTTTTATTAGCCCATTCCTTTTTCTTGTTTTTTTCTTCTTCTTAGTTTGTAAATGTAGACACATTAATTATCAAATTATGTTAAATTTTTGTATTTTTTTCTTTCTTTTTATTTTCTTCTATAATTTTTAATACAAAACGGATATTTTATCACACCCATAGCGCAAGATCTTCCAGAAGATAATGAATGCGATTAAGTTTAACAGTTAGGAGGCTGCTCTTGTTGCCTTTGAAATGCATGTTTTCTTTCTTTTGGGTGACCCAAGTATTTTCCTTTTTATATCTTTTAATATCTTTTTATATCATGTGTTTTATTTTCTTCAGGCAAAAGAAAAACGTCCAATTAAGGAAACATTAATATTAGGGGACCAAAAAACAGAAGTACCCATTAAAAAAACACACACAAACAAACATATAATAAAACAGAGAAAAAGCTTAGATTTACAGGGACAAGGGCAAAGCTAGATCTAAACAAACAGGGGATACTGTTTTTTCAGATTAATATATAATATAGGTCATAGTGAGGGGTGTGAAAGTTACCTGTTGGCCAAGGCATTTATATTCTAGGACCGAAGAGTGAAGAAAGTGACAGCAACGTTTCGGTTTAATTGAATACTCTATTTTCACTCGCTAAAGTAACATGGCTAACTAGTTATTTGGATAGAGCCAAGCTTAAAATAAAAATGCTGTATGTCCTTTTTCTAGTTTTGACATTATAACCAATTTATCACACTAGTCCTTGTTCCTTCTAACGCACCTTGTGGAAGTGAACAGAGACGAAATCATTGTCATTGTCATGAAATTATGGGATTGCCACTTGACAACATTAATATCTTTAGGGCTCGATTTTAGCAAGCAAACATTTATCGTTATAAACTAAATCCATGAAATGCTATTTTATCATCATATTTCTCCTCATATATTGTGGATTAATATATATATAGGGCTTGAAGTGGCATTGGAGTAGGTAAAATTTGAAAGAAATTGAAATTTTAACCTGGTTTGTTACCTTTCTGTTCCCTAGAAGTTTCCTGGCTAGAGAAATATTCCTACTTAGAAAAAGAAAGGAAACAAAAAGGTTTAAATTCCACATGGGACAAGAGGGATTTCATGACAAGTTGCTTTTGCTATATCCTTTATTCTAAGTCTAGGTTTTGGGTAGAATTAGGGTTTTGATTTTGAATCAATCAGAGGCCTTGAAGATCAAGTTTGAAGACTTTGAAGATGCCCAGAAATTTTCCAGAAATCGCCCAAAGGGCGCGCCCCAGCGCGCCTCAGCGCGCGGCCCAGCGTGCTCCAGCGCGTGCCCAGTGCGTGGTATGTGTGCGCAGCCATCCCGCGCGCGCGTGCGCACTTAGGCGCGATTGGCAGCCCAGATTCGGTAATTGGACCCCGAATGGGCCCGAGGATTTCTGAAACCCTCGTAATGCGTGCCAAAGGATCCAGAAAAGTTTCGGACCCCAAGGAAGGTGAAATCCAACCTAAAGACAAAGAATGAAGCCGAAGAATAAATAACTCAAGAATCGAAGACCCGTTGATGTAACGGAAGAAAATAATTATTGTAATTATTTATTTATTCGATTGAGTTGTAATTTATTTTTCCCTAGGTCCCGGTCAAATCCATCTCAATAGCCGATTGCATATATTTATATTTTATGTTGATAATTATATATTATATGTCCATGCATATAACATGCCATATAAATATATTGTGCCTACTCATATGTTTCAAAACATGCCATGCATACATGCGCATTTATTATTATTTATTTTATTTATTATAAAAGGGTTTTAGAAAAATAAAATAAAATAAGAACCATGCGCTAAAATCGATTTAATATGATTAAATTGA